AACTAATGCTCAGCAAGTTACCTCTTAGCAGCAATGTCGTGCCACATGCCGTCATGAAGGGTACAACTAATGCTCAGCAAGTTACCTCTTAGCAGCAATGTCGTGCCACATGCCGTCATGCAGGGTTGACGTGAGGCAGACAGAGGCTAGTTTAGCGTGCTGGCGGTGTAGTGTCAGACAGGGGCGGCCTCCACGCAGTGCCAGCACCAGATGTTCCAGACCTCCAACAGACCTCAGCGCCACCACCAAGCTGTTGCTCTGCCGGGTGCGCAGCCTATGGGGTAAAATATATTGTTTCAGTATTCATTTTGAATCTAGCATCATATAGCATTAAGCCAGACATGTAATACTGTTGAGCTTTCCGAGTAGTTTTGAAATTTAAAGGAACATTTCATGTGAGGCTTCATCGGCTTACCATATCATTGAAAAATTAATTTATAGCCTCTAACATGTATATAATTTGCATTTGAAAAATTCATCGTGAGTTCTTACAGGAAGTTCAAGTTCGAAATTTGCTCCAAACTATGTAGCTGCTGAAAAATCTTGAGTTGCTTTGAACCAGTTCCTGCATCAGTTTCATTCGTTGCGCACACAAACGATCAACAGGAATCGACGTCAAGCCGCTACTCCATGCACGTTGACGATTAAAAAGTTTCTACATCAATTAACGAATCGTTATAAAAAGTTGCAGTGCTAGAAGAATTGATATGGATTAGTTGACTGGGCCGATATTTGGTACTAATTGCAGTGGCTTTAGAAACTGACTAGCGTGCTTCGCGTTGGTAAGAATTATCAATAGAAAGCTTAAGATACGAGAAAACATGGTCATAACGGGGAGTCGACACTGCACAAATAAGAGTTTTGGTCGCCTTAAAGTTTTCTAAACACATCGGAATCGACTAGACGAGGATTAAACATAATTGTGGTAAAATTTAGTGTACTTTTTCATTTTAAGTCAGTCTTTGATACATTTGGCTTATATATAAATTTTTAGACATTTCAAAAACAAGTCATGCAAGTCAAGTACTTTGGGAGAATCGTCGATAAATTTGAGACGGCATAATCTTCAATTCAGACGCTTCTTTCCCATAGTTTATAAGCTTTGAGTCTTAGCAGCAATGTCGTGCCGCTGTTTTGTAATGCAAATTGGCGTTTCGAAGGCGTTTAATTCCTACATCACTAATAAATTGACGCGCTATGGATTCATGTACAGGATTCACTAGTAATATAAATGAGGTAAAGAGTGAATTTCATTTCCTGTACGGCAATGATTAAATGATTATTTGGCTCACGTTTCTCCGTGTGGCACTCATTGCTCATAAATCGCTGGGGCGGCGCAACGCGTTTAATCTCGACTTAATTGCACTGCTGCCAACAAACTCATTAGTAATGGTGCTAATTTCAAATTACTATAAATACTTTCACAAATTCCTTCGTTTGGTCCATGATGTCAACTCTCATGATTTTATAACTGGCCGGTGATGGGCGAGTAAGACCACGAACCAAAATTTTTGTCTTTGTCTTCACTATTTCAGCCCAAGGTTCAATGGAGGGGCGCGTGTTGGGACGTACCGTAAAGTTATGGACGAGGTTTGTTCTGGCAGCTGGAAGAGGAGAGCAATCTGAAGGAAACTGTTCGCTGAAAAGCTCGTGGGCACAGTTTTGGTGGAGCAGTCGTGGCCTGACCAACCAAGTTTACACTCGCACGTTTCATCGCCAGGAGATCCTTCGCAGCTGTTGACAAAACAAAACGCATGTGTTGAAATTATACGCTAGGGGAAATGTCTTGAGGTGGTCGTTGCATCTCAGAATTGATCACACAAATAAATTGACCAACTTTTTGCTGATAAAACTCATTTAGTGGCTAGGATTAGCGAAGTTGATTAATTAAAAAAACGTCATCACCAATACTCAACGGGGATTTACATTGCTACGCTACATGTTGTAAAATAAAATAAAAAAGAACGTCGCATGCTGATCATGACGTTAAATTTTTAATTATTTTAGCATGAAATGAATTTTAACTTATTTTGCCGCGGGAAATCCAGAATCAATGACATTTAATGCAACGTGAAAAATTATATTTTATTGTACGAAAACTTATAGTTCGCTAGTAACTGCGTGCATCAATCTGTGCTGTACACAATGAATAGCACACAAGATGCTCACAAAGGCTAATATATTTGATGCAAATGAAGATTTCTTTAAATAAACTGAGCATCTGATGATGAGATTGGCCCTTTAGCGTGTAGCTGTACGTATATATCGCCTTACAAAGTGTCTCATTTGAAAATCTTCCCATAAAAATATCGGAGCTACAACTCTGTCAGACGCGTTTAGATCATGTCTTAGATTGGCTCGGCAGCAACTAAGAAAGAAATCGCGTCTCACCCTTCAGTGCACGACGTGCTTAACTGGGATGTAGTATTGATTTTTATCTGCCCCGCGAAACCTTGTTTTTTTCGGCACTATGGCTGGCAAATCAGTTGAGATATCGCAATGAAAAGGTTATCTGCTTGTTCGGGAGTTCTTTATGAGTTATTTTGTTGTTTATTAGTGCATATTGGCAGTTTTAATTATTCTTGCATCATATTTTTTAAACACGCCTTAATTAAATGTACAATCGAGCTCACGAACCCTACGCGTGAAACGCTCCACAAAAGTCCAGTCGGGTGTACGACACTGTAATGCAGCTCCAGAACAAAACTATTTTGTTTGATAGTCGGTAATTCCTCGTAGTCATAACTCTAGTAATATAATATAGCCTGTTAATTTTAACATGGTCCCGGGTTCACTTCATAATTTCGTTTGCATATTAAAATGCTTCGTTGAAATATTAACTGAACTAAACCAAATGAAACTGATTAGGCTTATGAAACTAGTCAATTTTATATAATTGCTTGCTATGTTAGCGGTGAGTGTTAGCTGAACGTATTGATGTATTTTTTGTTCTACAGAATCGTTTAGTGGAGTCCAATTAAATTGTTTCACTCAATCAGAATACGTCAAAGCAAACTAGAGCGCCACATCACTACTGCCTCTCCTCTATATAGGGACCGAAAATACAATTGATTTGATGGTGACAGTGTTCTTGATGAAAACTTTTCAGTCTGTTAGAGACTGTTACCCACAAGATTGAGAAGAAAGTCATCGAGATATTGAGGTTGAACCGCTTCTGTAGTCCATTCCTCTGAATTTGAATATTTTTCTCAAGAACCGCCAAAATATTTAGCATAAGGATGTACTCAAGAAATCAGCAAAAATCTTGTTCGATAAAAGTCAAAAGCCATGCACATGGCACTTCGTACGTATGATTTAGGCGCTCGAAGTCGTACCCAACAGTCCTACACTGCAGGGAAGGTCGTACCCAACAGTCCTGTAGCGTCTGCAGTGTCGTGCAGTGTCAACAGTCCATGAAAGGTCGTGCCCAGCAGGCCTACAGTGCCCGTACTTGCATGCCCGGGCTTCCACATGACATTAAGTGGGGCACGTTGTCCTATTCTGCATGCTGGGGCGTACATAGCAGTCCTGCACTGGCTGCCGGGCACGGAAGCAGTCCTACACGACATGCAGTGACACGATATCCTTAACTGTATGCCGAGGTGCACACAAACTGTCTCGAAGAAACTGCCCTATCTTCAGCTAACTAAAATCAGTGAATTCTAATAGAAACCACGATGCAATGCGTACAAAATTAAAAGAAATTTCAAAAACACGGGGTCGTTTTTCTTCAGAAAATGTCCAATCGGAATATGTGAGAAGGAAAGGAGGAGCATACAACAAATGCTATTCTTTAAGCAACTATTTGACAAGAAGATCGTAAGGCACCTCAACGTGACGTGATGTTGATTATTGCCACGTACTAATGTTCTCGAACGAGCACCAATAATATGTTTTAGACGAACGATATCTGGAGTATACCTGAGCATATTATTTTCATTCGGTTGATTATACTATACATACTACAATTTTTTTATTGGAGATATTGCGGATTTCTTTCATGTGTGAAGCTCATTCGTCCAACTGTCCAGATATGTCTCCTTTTAGTTTCAGTCGGCGCTACGACCACGTGGACATATATCTCGTCTTTCCAATTTTTTACAACGAATAAATTTCAACAACGGGTAATAATTCTTCATTGTAATTAAAAATATGTCTCATAATACCATTCCACATAAAGCTTTTTTGTAGTTGTGTGAAATTCGGGCATTAAAATGTTAGAATGGATCGCAAACACCAAGCAAAGGAGTTCTTTGAACACGGACTTAATTAGTTTCTCGCTCCTTTTTTAACCCTCAACAGACTGAATAATTTTACGACGTTACAGTCGTATCGAGTGTAGGTACATTTGTATCCATGCAGTCCTACAAGTATTAAATGAAAACATGAAATGAAGTTTAAGATCAGAAGGAAAGCGTTTCACATGAATAAATTCGTTACATTCATCGAGTCCCTGTTACAATAAAAAGAAATTTCAATTAATTATGGTAATTAGGGGCGAGTGGGCATTTTTTGGCTCGTTTCGTGGATAATTACTCCAGTTTATTCTCTGCGCAACGTGCATTTTTGAATACGAAAACATAGGAATTTCAATCAATTTTCCTAATAGATTATTCCTGTCAAACATCGCATTATGAAACTTTATGTTCTAAGAAAATAATCGTTAGGGAGAAGCCAATATTTTGATAGATGATACATTTTCTCACAGTTTCAAATTTTTCATTTTGCCAATTATACTAAGAAAAAAAACGATTATGAAATTCAAATTGAGAAGCTGGTTCGTGCGAAAACCTTGAATATTCGCGGCTTGAGAAAAATTGATACGTGCATATGAACAAATTCGGAAGGTAAAGACCAACTTACTTGGAGTTCGCAGGGCAGCGCAGAGCTGCGCAGTTCTGATAGACACAGCCCGGTTCTGATCGATGACTGGGCACATTTTCTCCCAAATCCAAGAGCTTTGACGGGAGAAAAATGACAACAGCGTGAAGTCCGTGAGATAACATTTTTGATCAATCTTAAACTGGGGACATTTTCGGAATAGAATTATCATCTTGCATAGTTTTGTTCTCATTTGAAGTACGATCTTTGCTGTACACATCCATATATTCTTATCCTCGAGTCATGAATTCGGAATTGATGACTACAAATGAAATGGTTGCATAAACGTTCTTCCCATTATGATTCAAGATTGTGGCTTTACGATAACTAGCAATTCATGAAGTTGAGGTGTTGTAGAGAGAAATTTATAACATTTAACGGAGCGTAAAGCAATTTTCGCAACAATATTCACCAAACATTTCAATATGATTATACAAGAAATAGCTTATTAAAATTGAAAATTTTTACAACTATAAAATTTTGCAGAGATTGTTGTGCTCGAAATATTCAACATGATTTACAATCACTAGCAAGACACAAAGAGAATACTGAAACCGATGATGCAGAATCTCAATGAACATTCTCTCTGAAATACCGCATGTCACATTCTGGTAAAATCCATGGACATGAACAATTAATGAACTTTTCCTGTTATGCTTGAGCACTTTTTCTATAGAAAAGTTTGAAAATAAATTGAAGAAGCTCGCTATCTGTAATTAGCAGCCACTTCGATGAGCGGCCGTGTCAGAAATGCTCAGAATGAGGAAAATAACGCAACGCTGTTTCATGCAGATGTGGAACAAAGGGACTGCGACAACGAGCTCTGTTCAGTGCCGGGGCGTAATGAGGAGTAAACCTCTTCTGTGATCAAACGAACTCATGAGTTCTGCATGAATATATCTGCTATCTGCACTGTAATGCATTTCTGCGGTTGCTTTCCGCAGCGCGCAAGTAGCGGCATCACTGGACGTGTGGAACATGGCTGTGTTAAACTTCTAAGAAAACGCTTCCAGACATCAGTATTAATTCCTTGCTAGATATTCAATTATTGCAATATATTTTACTGCATTTGTCACTTCCTATACACCATTAGAAATTATAATTTTCATACTATGCTTTAAAGTTAACACTAAAACATCTCCTGAAGAAATAAAACGTAAAAGTTAGACAAAACATCGACTACCAGGAATTCACGGAGCGCAGGACGCAGGCCTCAATCTTTCCGAGCTACAAATAATGAGAAAAATTGGTGCAATTTTCGAGCGGCATTTACTCGTACCCGAAGAAATGATGCAAAATAATTCGTTATTTCCTCTATTTTATTAGAATAATTTGGGTGCAGTTGTTGTGTGTTGCTGCGTGCCGGAGCAACAAAGCAAACCGCAAAGAGAAGGAAAAAGGTGGATCTTCTTGTTGCCTAAAATAATGTAAGGTTAGTTTTTACCGTGATCATTTATAACGCAATTTATCCAAAAAGTTGTTGCTTATTATTTTTACATCCCAGTTCGGGTCGACTTCTATTCAAATAAATTCGATCGAGGACTAAAAATAAGTTTCGTGTAGTGTATTGCTATGCATAAATATTGTTGCATAATAAAATATTATTGTTGCACTGCATGTTTTGTAAACTAAGCTTTTTCTGCGCTCATTAGAAAGATTCAAGGGGTCATTCTATGCTGTGAAGTCATATGTTTTTGAAGCGCCAAGTGGACTCGAAGATTGTATCTCCAGACTCTTGGTTGTTCGTCGTAGTATTTTCCTTTATATGTAAAGTTCTACTAAGAATCTGTCCAGATTAAAAGACTGTAGAAAAAATCCTCAGATTTTCCGTCTTGCATTCGTTTATGCATTAAATGATTAAACGATGAATAATATTTATTATATATTAAATAGTTAAAACCCGTTAATAATTCTCCATCAATTATTCGTTGATAAATTTATATTAATACTTGTTTATGATTTTATTTCAATAATTAATAATATTGATCCAAGATATATTAAATTAATGATCCAAAGTTGGACTGAAATCGAGATCCCATTGCGAGGCAGACGTACTTAGCTGCATTTCAATGTGATCTTTATAGGAATGTGAACTTGAGTTAATTATATTTACATGTGAGCTTGAGTTAAGTTTATTTACATGTGAGCTTGAGTTAACTTAAGAGAATTTTTTAATGGTAGTACGACCTCTCTTCGTTTGAATTTATGAATAGTATCTTGTACTCCAACTTGTTGCTGGGAATCTATTACGAATCGTCAATATTAAAAATTATCCTCAAAATGGAGGAAACAAAATATAAATTAACAAATAAATTATTCTCATTAATATCATCTTAGTTTTGAGCACTGAGCTCGATGTTAAGCATATATAAGGCTTTGCGCTAGAAATTTTTGTGATGGATAGAAGTCATGTATAAGTCACATAACAATAAAATGCGCATCGGTCGCAAAAGAGTAACGATGGTTCATTTCTCTATGCGAGGTGCCGGGGCTGAAAAACTTATGATTACAATCAACATCTGTTGATATTGGCTCTACAGGGCAGTGCAGACTAATTTAGAGTATCTCTTTAATATTTTACCTTAGACTTCTGAATGTCCAGAGTAATGGATTAAAATTATATAATATTAGTTATATAGCTAATAATTTGATGAAGATTACCTGCTTCAACGCCCAAACTTTTTTCTTCATTATTTAATGTACTGACAATTTTCGATCATGAATGAAGAATGAATGATATTTATCATGAAGTAATAAAATTCTGAAGTTTAAATATTGTTAACATTTAATGTACGGAAAACTTGCATTCATGATTTTAGAACGTCTAGTAGATGTGAAATTATACATTGTTAAATCTTTTAATTATACTGAGCTATGAGCTACCTGTGTAATTTCCTACCTCTCCATTGAGTCGTATATTCCTGAGACATCCTTTGAAGTAGGATTGTTTATCGCCATTATTCTCGTGCAATGCATCACTGGAACTTGCGTCCATGGATCCGAGTTGCAAAGGCGCGCCTCTTGTGTTGAGTTGTCCAGTCAAATCTTGCGCGTGCACAGCATTTCTGCAGTAGAATTGTTTGGACAGNCTGGAGCCGGGCAACAGAGGAGGGTGTGAGGCTAGAATTTTTTAAATTTTCGGAAAATTGGGCTTAACGATCCGTTGAATTAGTTAAGAATATGCCGTTATGCGAGATGAGAAAATAAATGTACAAATTTTGATTGACATCTGATGTTGTTAACGACCAGCAATATTTGGCACATAGAGCAGTAGCAGGAGCTTATCATAAATAAAAAATAATATACATTGACCAGAAAAGGAAAACTAAGGGTAACTCTAAAAATACCGCATAAATTAAACGGAAACAGTAATTCCATGTGCAAATAAGATAGAAACTGTCACAATAAATTGTAATATTAGAGTATGAAACAAATTGACCTCAACAGTGGAAGCAAAATATAAATCTTACAATATGTCTTTAGATTGCACCTATGCAAAAAGAAAAAAAGAAATAGTGGTGAAAAGGAATGTTATCGTTATCTGTTTTGAATTTTATCGGTTGTAGTTCTATGCATAAAATTGAAAAAAAAAATAAGATCAATGTAGAAAATTCCAAAATGACTGATTTAGCGGAAGAATAATCACCGAAACAATTCAAATAAAGGACAATACCTTCGTATAGGATGAACACGAATGACACAAATGATATTCACCTCTCTTATAGGCGACACTGACGGCCTTTCTTATGCTGCTGGGAGCCCTTGGATCAAGCTGGGCGGAGAAAGGAGGTCCATGGCCAACACTCCAGTCGTCGGGGTCGGTCAGGTTAAAAAAAATTGTGAAGCCTTCGATGTTTTTTCTGTGCACGTTCACGTACGTGGGACCCGTGAAGATGGGGGCGTTGTCGTTCACGTCATCGATTTCAACCTTCAATTAATGTGAAAGAAACTTATGAAATGTAATTGACATATCATGCATTATATATGAACAATACATCCTATTCAGAAAATACTTTTCTTGAATTGGACAGCAGAAAAATTATCTAAATACAGTTAAATATTAATTGTGTTAGTGTTTGTGACGGTTGAATTATATGTTAATAGTAATAGCGAAGATGTTTATCTTTTTAGGAAATTTTATTCCAGCGAAAATTAGAATTAAGTTTAATGCTGTAATTGAGAAGTCATTGTAATTCGGAAATTAACACAGCCAATTGACTTCTTGGAGTTTTTGTAACTTTTTCTTGCAAACGTTCTTCCATTCCTAAAAGATAATTACTAATCTCGAATGTTTGAACATTAACAAAGTTCGATGATTCACGCGGAAGTGTGTTATAAATATATTGAAATAGTGGAGAGCAAGTGTTCTGTTAAAGAATGATTTGCTATTTACAGTCCTGCCACTTACAGTTTTGCCCACTCATAGTCTTACCACTTACAGTTACAGTAGCGGACGACTGGCGCGGCGGCACCCCGTGGTCAGTGGCATGAACCACTAGGCTGTGCTTGCTGATGGCCTCTCTGTCCACTAGGCCGATGGTCCTGATGGTCCCTGTGTGGTCGATGCCGAAGTGAAGACTTGATCCTCTCCTACCAGCGAGGCTGTAGCGAACCAAGCCATTCCTGTTCTGTTTTCTCGACATAAAGCGGTTCTGCGTTGTATTCTTGTGGTTAATGCAGTCAGGAAATAATGCTTGAAGTTGATGCTTAGGAATTATGAATAAATTGTGGTTACGGGCAGAAATAAATATCGCTGGAAATATGTACGTGATGATTGTGGCTGCGACATGATAAATTATATTACAGATCATTGCTGTCAGGTTGGGAATTGACAAAATATTTATCATAGTAAAATTATATCCACTATTTTATTTACAGAGCTGAATATACAGAGGGAATGAGTGAAAAACGTGAATGGAATCAATTGGAATTAAAAAAAATATTACTGTACAAAAAATCAGGTAAGAAGTTTCGAATTACAGGAACGAGTTTGGCATCGTCGACTCTTCTATTTTATATATTTTCATTTGCCTGACTTAGCTGCACCAGGTATAAGCTAGTGCAGCCAAATCAACATAAAGAAATTCGCTTGTGGAAGAACAGAAGTGCTCTTCGGCAGCTCACTTGGTCCAGATCGAAGGCAGGCACTTTTGCCACCACCGTTCCAAGTGGCGCGTCTTCGCTGATCCGCACGATTTGCTGAACTTTTTCGAATGATGGAGCGTTGTCGTTAACGTCTAATATGCGCACTATGACGGTCGCTTCGCCCACCCTGTACTTGTTCTCCCATGCATCCGTTCCCTAAGACATGCAAAAAAAGAATTCGAAAACAACTTGGGAGGTAAACCTCGAACTTCGATCATTATACCTTATTCATTTCCACCATCCAAAAAACTTGGATAACCTAGTTAGAGAAAACGAGCATATGTAATCGACCGCCAGAGTGGTTTGCATGGTGAAAAGTCAAAAGGAATCATGTAGGTTTGCATTGTTTAGCATATCGTTCGTGCGAATATCATACAATACGATATATTTCTTGATTTTATATTTCAAACATCATCTCTACATAATAGTGCATAAGAACTTGGTTGCATTGCGCGTTAAATCAACGTCTACGAAGACGATGCTTTAGACAAAATAAAAAATACAAGAAAACATTCGAAGTCTTGAGCAATAAATCAGATTATATGAATGTATACGAATGATATTCGCATAATTTAGAACAGGAAACCTGCTTGCGCATCCCCCTCATTCAGCAGTACGCGTCCATGCCGAGCAGTGCAACGTGCCAGTGTCCGATAGTGATTTTCGAATTTTAGCCTCCACGACCGGTGTTTCCGACTTGCGAATTCTA